TGTAGTCTTGTCTCTATTTTGTGCCTGGATACATTTTATTTTTGTACTGGACATTGTATTTGAAAAACTGTAGAAATTACATGAGACTTTTTCTTCCAGCAGAGTTTTTTTTTTTTTCCTTCTTCCAGGAACCTGGGTATAGTAGAACTCTTGTATCATCTAAATCCAATTTCAGAGTCTAGGATTTTCTGTGCCACCCAGATTATCTAAAGCTGAACTGCAATCCATTTGAAGACTGATTTATCTTTCTTCTGGTGTCCATCTCTTCTGGGTCTCAAGCAAAGATTGAAGTGTTTGACAGAGAGAGAGACTCCCACACTTGGTGAGCCTTGCACGGCTGTTTTGGTCCTCCCAGCCTCATGAGGCTTTGATCTTATTCTTGATCTGGTTTGATTAAATCTTATCTTGATTAGCTCTTTGACCCTTTGATTTGATTTGATTTGACTGTTTGAAGCTTTGATTAGGTTTTTTTGATTAGCTTTTTTCAAGGATTTTTAAAAATAATTTTTCAGATTTTCTGATTGAAGCAAGAGAATTTGTTCAGATTGTCCCAAGAGTACATTATTGTCACTCCTTCCACGGAGACATTTTTCAGGGGCTCTTTTCAAGTGGTATGACTGAAAGATCTGTATACAAGTCCAGCCTACTGCTAATAATAAATTTTGGTGAATAACCTCAGCTTTCTAGATTCCATTCTTCTTCCATATCAGCAAATTCAATTAGGTGATTTTTAGTGTCCTTTAAAGGTCCAAAATTTTATGATTTCTTCGCTCAGGGCTTCCCAAAGAGAAAATTATAATACACTGAAAACAGAGTTCTTTAAACTTGTGCTATTACAGTGACTAAATGTATCTAACCTATCAGCCTTACTCTAATTTCAGTGTGTTTGTTAGGAAGACATTTCCTGAGACTCAAGCCAGTGACTGATTCCACTGTTCACATATTTGAGGAGGGAGGAAGCCTGAACCCCATCTTGGACATCAAGTTCCCCTCAAGTGGCAGGAGCCACCCCAGCTTTTTTAGAAGAGGGAGAATTTAGTATTGGAAATTATTAGCCAGGTATTGGGAATTCTAAAGGCAAAAAAGGAAGTCTAGACACTAACTGCTTTGGTGCAGCTACCACCCCTGCAGTAGGAGAATCAGAGAAAAGAGGATGAAGTTACTAAAGCGTAGAAGCTTAGGGAGGCCTTTGGAGCTAAAACTGGGGCCCCTGAGAAGGGGCCCTGCTGGTGCTGGTGCCTCAGGAACTTGGAGGAGCGTCCCCAGGGGGCTGGAACCCAGGCTCTGAGGAGAGTCTCAGTCAGCTGGTCACGTGTCACAGACAGGGCACAATAAGGGGACACTGTGGGGCACTGAGGGGGTGGTTCTAGGTGTTCTGGAAAAGCCGCCAGCTGGAGCAAACTGCTTCCCCCCAGGGCAAGACACAAACAGGAAGGAGCCGGTCTCCTTCCTCCCGGGCCTTGTGGCCTCTCTGCTGCCCCTGCTGGTGGAGCCTCACAGAGAACCAGGGGCCAGAGGAGAAATGCAGCCCTGACAGCACAAAGCCAATTATAAAAGGATGGGTTTAAACTTGACAGACACTGTGTTAACCACCAGCACACCGTCTTCGCAGTCCTCACCAGATCAGGTTTATTGCGTTGGGCTGTCACTGTGTATTACTGGAGTTTTAGGGTGATGAGCTCTGCATACGCCGCAAGTGTTCATGTTGTTTTACTGGGCCCACTGTGTCTCTGTAAGAAATATGGGCACTCTGGTAGCAAAAGAAAATGAACCCTCACAATCATCACTGAAAAGATAGCCACTTTAAGAAGCCAAGCTTCTTTCTTTTATTCCTGCTTTCAAGCTATCTGTATTTGACTCTTTGAGGAGCTGCCTTACCTTAGCTCAGCAAACTCATTCCACTCTGCTGTAGCATATCATCAGACAACAATTTTTGCCTCATTTCCCCAAACTAGCAACACCTGAACACCACTTAGCTGTACAAAGATCTGAAGGCTGCCTGTGATTCACGTAGTCTAACGTGAACATCGGTCTAAATACAGACAGACTCTGAGGGAGCCTTCCCTCTGGGGACCCGTCATCAATCTGGCTACTTGTAAACAATAAGCTCCCTTCAGTTGTAGTTCGCTACGTTTCTCTGCCACTGCCTCTCTTGGCCACTATAGAAGGAGGGGCTCAAGTTGTGTTTCAGATTTCATTACCAGTCATATTTCATCGCAATGAACTCTGCAGTGGTGTCTGTACATCATTTTTATGATTGTGAAGTTTATTACGTCGAGCAATGTTTATTGTGAATCAAGCATTTATTTGGGTTTCAAAATCCCTATGTTACACTGAGACCCAGCTGAATCAGGATAGCTCATTTTATAGTCAGTGAGATATTTATACATGGTGGAGTGCTCAGGGTTTTTCAAAACCAGCCAAAAAGATGAGAGCCCTGTGTTCTAGAAATTTACGCCTAATATAATCAGCACGGATAGTGCTGTCTACGCAGCTAAACATCTTTATACACTTACCAGTGTAGAGCAGCCAGTGTGAACCAAGACCAGGGCAGAAGCAC